TAGTATGCATCTTAGGCTTGACAAGGTCGTAGCCTCGTATATTTCGTCACTTCATTCTTGCCAATCTCACGGTGTCTTTAACCCAAACAGAATGGTATATTTTTTTTGATATTAAAATTGAGCACCGGCGCTGTTTTTAAACCTGAATTCTATATTATGATTTCGTATTGTTAGAAGGGTTTCGGGTTAATGATTGGGATCTTTCTGGATATCTTTTTTCGAATTTTGACCCCAGAACTCCCAAAAATGCCCTACTGTAGACGATGTACTTTAGACTATCAAACTAAGGTATTTGATAAATGTTTCTGACGCTCTTCTTCCGTTCTACAATTTTTCCATTCAGAAGTATTATTTCTAATTTCCTTAGTATCTCTTTCTTTAAACCAGTCATTCATATCATCAAGTCCTCCAAAGTTAAGTTGATTGTTATCATCATAATCAGCATGTTTAAAACACCTGTAACATGCAACTTTTGCAGATATATATCCGCAAAGCTTTCTTATGGCAGGAATATCGCAAAAGCAACATATAACAGCAACTTTTATTTTTTTTCCATTAGGATGTTTGAAAGTTTTTGGTAGGTTTATTCTATACTATAGTTCAATTAATTGATCGATTAGAGAGGTGAGATAATGATTTAATTAATGTAATTTTAGCTTATTCAGACTTGGGATTAACGCTAATGTTAATATATTTGAAGATTTAAATTGCTCATTTTAGAGTAAATTGCAAATGATTACGTAAATTGATCCTGTACTATGTAGAGAATTTTTAAAGGGTTGGAACTAATCCATATTAAGCATTATACTGAGATGAGTATCTGCTGTATCTGACTAAAAAAAATTTATGCCATATTCATCATTAAACGACTTCTATATTCTCTCATCATAAATATCAGCAAGGATTTCTGGATTAGAAGGACGATTAACCCATTTTTAGCATGATTCTTTGAAACCTTTTTGTCTAAATAGAAGATTCAGCTGATTCCTTATGCTAACTATAGGAAATATTAAGGTTAGCTTTTTAATTACACCATTCTTTGTATAAACTTGTTTATATAACGGGTTTTAAAGACATTTTTTTTACGACTCATCAGATGGTTAAAAAAATCTCAAAATGTATAATTTGTGAATTTAGGCATAAGGTTAGGTTTGCTGCTAGATACATCAGTAACCTTATACAATTTACAGCATTTTCTACAAGTCACATATTTTATTAAATGAACACAGATTCTGAGATTTTTTATGTACCATATAGAGAAATATAGGAAAGGCAGAAAATAAGTTTTTGTCTATATTCACAAGAACATAGTGGAAAAACATAAAGAGAGAATTTATCGCCATATTAAATAATCGAAATCTTTCCTGATACTTCAAGATCCATATAACAATCCATGATAAATTATCTAATCCTTTTTTAGGTATACTTAAAAATACTTTCTTCTGTTTTCAGCATACTAAAATTCACTTGATATTCTTCCTCTAAATCATCTGATGAATATTCTAAAGTATCGTCTTCAAAGTCTTTTTTATTATTTTCTTCAGATGTATCATCATTATCATCAGAAACTAGTTTGTTTATTATTTCTGAAAATAAAATTTCTGACCTTGTATTTTTTTAGAAGTCTTTTTACCAAAAATGGATATCTTTCTTCATGTGATTCTTGTGGTTTTTCATTGCTAATATCCACAAAATCTTCCAAATGAAATATCAGATCATTAGGTAAAGGTAAATTAGTTAATTCTTCCAGATCATTAGGTAGTGAACTAGTTAATTTTTCTGAAAAACTAACAATTTTTCTTTTGGATATATTAGCGTGAGCTGATTGGATTTTAGGATCTACCATTTTTCCCTTACAAGCTAAATAATTATATGGTACGAATTTTTGGATTCAAGAAGGACAAATATATAAAGAAGTGTTTTTATTTTTATTTGAAGACATTATTAATTACTTAAATTGATCTTTAAAAAATATAATAATTTTTTATATATGAAAAATTTGCGTGATATATCTTTACTAAATATAGTTAAACTGATTTGTTATATATATATTTAATATACTTTTAGTTAATCGATTGTATTAAGTTTAAGCAATAAAGTTTATTAGTCATGCCTTTTTACCAAATATAATTAAGCTATTCTTGAAGTTTATTTAATATATATATATGTATAACTCTAATTCTAATTATATTGTAACTCTCTTTTTTTCACGTTATGCATCATGAATTATTCCAAATATAGGTAATTATATATATATAATACATATATATATTATTTTCTGTTATATATATTTTGTTTTATGTTGTTAGTATACGAAATCCTAAAGAAGGTTCTACCTATTGAAGTAGAGAAAATTCAATACAAAGAAGAAATAAGTTGTCTAGAGAGAGGTCATTATATAGAAAAACTCTACTTGAAAATAAAAGATTAAGAAGTCAAGTTCTAGGCAAAACGAAAGGGTATTAGATGAAAGAAATAGAAATCAAACTTTATATGAAAATGAAAGAGTATTAAATGAAAGAGAGAGAAGTCAAACTCTACGTGAATATGAAAGATTATTACGCAAAAGAGAGAGAAGTCAAACTTCACATAGATATAAAAGGTTATTACGCAAAAGGGGTAGAAGTCAAACTTCACGTGTCTTTACTTCTTTATACTAGTCGAAATCAAAAAAAATCGAACATGTAAAAATTGGTCTAAAATCAGCCTAAATCAGCCTAAAATCAGTCTAAAATTGACAAATTATCAAAAATCAGCCTAGCTGATTGGCATACATCAAAAATCAGCCAAGAATCAACCAAAATTCGAACTATCTTATTTATAGCCGATTGGCATACTTATAGCCAGGGTTGGGAAATTTGTATGTACTAGGCAAATTTTAACCTTGTACTTGTACTAAATTTTATATTAATTATTATGTGTACTAACTGTACTAAACTGTACTAAGCTGTACTAACTGTACTAATTTCCTAACCCTGCTTATAGCTGATTGGTATATATCAAAATTCGACCTATCTTATTTATAATTGATTGATGTCCGATTGGAATAGTTGCATTGTTCCTTAGGTACAATAGGTATTATCGTACCTAAGAAATGATAGTATTATTGTTTCTAAGATACGATGCATTTATCGTTCCTTAAGGACGATAGTTTTATCGTTCCTTAGGGACAATGGTATTATCATTCCTTAGGACGATGGTATTATCGTTTCTAAGGCATGATGTTATTATCATTCCTTAGGTATGATGATTTTATTATTCCTTAGGTACAATGCATTTATCATTCCTAAGGCACGATGGTTTTATCATTTCTTAGGGACGATGGTATTATCGTACCTAAGGAACAATGGTTTTATCGTTCCTTAGGTATAATAGTTTTATCGTTCTAAGGTATGATGCATTTATCGTTCCTTAGAGACGATGGTATTATCATTCCTTAGGGACAATGGTATTATCGTTCCTTAAGACGATAGTATTATCGTTCCTAAGGCATGATGTTATTATCGTTCCTTAGGTACAATGCATTATCGTTTCTAAGGCACAATAGTTTTATTATTCCTTAGGGATGATGGTATTATCATACCTAAGAAACGATGGTTTTATCGTTCCTAAGGAACGATTATTTTATCATTCCTAAGGTACAATGCATTTATCATTCCTTAGGGATGATAGTATTATCGTTCTTTAGGGACAATGCATTTATCGTTCCTTAAAGACAATGGTATTATCGTTCCTAAGGCACGATAGTTTTATCATTCCTTAGAGATAATGGTATTATCGTTCCTTAAAGATAATGGTATTATCGTACCTAAGAAATGATAGTTTTATCATTCCTAAGGAATGATTGTTTTATCATTCCTAAGACATGATGGTTTTATCATTCCTTAGGGATGATGGTATTATCGTTCTTTAGGAACAATGCATTTATCGTTCCTTAAGAACAATGGTATTATCGTTTCTAAGGCATGATAGTTTTATCATTCCTTAGAGATGATGGTATTATCATTCCTTAGGGACGATAGTTTTATCATTCCTTAGAGATAATGGTATTATCGTTCCTTAAAGATAATGGTATTATCGTACCTAAGAAAT